CCAAAAGGCAGACAAGGAGCCTGGATGCAGGGAGGGGACCTTGCTCTGGCAGGTCTGTGCAGGGCTGGGTGGCAGCAGCCCTGGCCAGCCAGAGTTTCTGTGATACATCACAAATGTCAGTGGTCTGAAGCTTAAAGAGAGGAGATTGAGGTTGGACATGAGGAGGAAATTCTTTGCTGTGAGGGTGGTGAGAGCCTGGCCCAGGTTGCCCAGGGAAGCTGTGGCTGCCCCATCCCTGGCAGTGTTGAAGGGCAGGTTGGATGGGGCTTGGAGCAACCTGGGCTGGTGGGAGGTGTCCCTGCCCATGCAGGGGGTTGGATCTGGATGATCTTGCAGGTCCCTTCCAACCCAAACCATTCTAGGATTCTGTGAAATGTAAATACCTCTTACCTCCCCACAGCCTGGTGTTATCACCTACAGGCTTGTCTGGTGACTTCTTTTGTGAGAAGGGGCTCCCTCCCCGTGTGTTTAACTCCTCCTTGTCCTCTGCTGGCTGAGACACCCACCTCCTGTGCCTGCAGACCTTCCCACCAAGCTGGATTCCCACCCAGTGAGCACCTCCTCCTGTTGCTCACACTGGGCTGTCCCTTCCAACACCACCAGTGCTGTCCCCAGGGGTCAGTGCAACAGGCTCAGCAGTGACCCAGGTGTCCCCTCAGCAAGGTGATTCAAGGCTGGGAGAGGTGGTGACACCCCAGGGGGCTGTGCTGCCATCCAGGGTGACCTGGACAGGCTGGACAGTTGGGAAGAGAGGAACCTCATGGTGTTCAACAAGGGCAAGCACAAGGTCTTGCACCTGGGGAAGAACAACCCCAGGGATCAGCAGAGGTTGGGGCTGAGCTGCTGGAGAGCAGCTCTGGGGAAAAAGACCTGGGAGTCCTGGTGGACAACAGGGTGACTATGAGCCAGCAACGTGTCCCTGTGGCCAGTGTAGCCAGGAGGTTCTCCTGGATCCAGCTCTGGGCTCCCCAGTTCATGAAGGACAAGGAGCTACTGGAGAGAGCCAAGCACAGGGCACTGAGATGCTGAGGGGACTGGAGCATCTGCCTGTGAGGAAAGGCTGGGAGAGCTGGGGCTGTTCAGCTGGAGAGGAGGAGCCTGAGGGGGGATCTGATCAGGGCTGATCAATGTCTACAGGCCAGTCTCTTTTCAGGGGTGTCCAGTGACAGGACAAGGGGCAATGGGCACAAACTGGAGCACAGGAGGGTCAAGTTAAACGTTAAGGAAAAGCTTCTTGACTCTGAGGGTACCAGAGCCCTGGGCCAGGCTGCCCAGGGAGGCTGTGGAGTCTCCATCCCTGCAGACCTTCCAGCCCCACCTGGATGTGTTCCTGTGGGATCTGCTCTAGGGGATCCTGCCCTGGCAGGGGTTGGATGGATGATCTCCAGAGGTCCCTCCCAACCCCCACCACTCTGGGATCCTGTGCAGCACCCCAAGCTCCCCAGGGCTGAGGACACCCTGGGGGAGGCAGGGAGGGCTCCATCCCCCGCCCACC